AAAAAAAATAAATTTATCAATAAAATTAAAAAATTTTAATCTACTAGTAGTTTGATAAATGTAAGAAGACATACTAGCTGTATGGAAGGTAATTAACATTAAGAAAGAAATTATCATACATGTCATTTTCGAACATTTATTTAGACTTACCAAAATTCAATGCTTGGCATTTAATTTTTAGTATTTAAAAAAACAACACGTTATTTGAGTTTAAATTGTGAACTTTTTAACATTTTACATATTTAACTCGTGAGACTTAAAGATAACATAAATTCTCATAAAAGTCTCTTTAATAACAAAATTAAAATTAACTTGTCTTTTTTTTTTTAATAAAAAAAATACCTCTTATACTCTCAATAATAAAATCTTATATTGTCAAAAAAAAAAAAAAAATCAACAACAACAACAACCACAATTTGTCATTTTCTCTACTAAAAGAACTTCTTCAAATCTCTTGAAATGTAGTATTTTCGATGGGATACGTCACCGGGTTGAAATCCGCATGAGGGAAAGAAGTGGGGAGGGGATGAGAGTTCAAATTCTGAGCATATAAATGAGGAAACGCTTTTTTTTTTTTTTTTTCTAATAATTTGAATATCTCTATAGACCATCCTAAATGTAGTATTAAATTATTAATTAAAGACAATAATAATTACGCTATAATCAGCCAAAAAGAAAAAAAAAATGAAAAACATTTAACATTCTTTAAACATTTCTTTGCCTTCATAATTTCCACGGCTCTTATATGTGCTTATATATAACCTCCGACATAGGGAGAGAAGACACCAAAGAAATAGCATATCTTAAAATGCCTCACCAACAAAATATGTACCACGGTGGTCCAAATGGCCGGAAAAAGCCACAAGTGGTGGCAGTAATGATCCCATTTCCAGCTCAGGGCCATCTCAACCAGCTCCTCCAACTCTCCCGCCTCCTCCTCTCCTACCATATCCCTGTCCACTACGTTTGCACCGCCACCCACATCCGCCAGGCCAAGCTCCGTGTCCACGGTTGGGACCCCTTGGCCAGTGCCAACATCCACTTCCACGGTTTCGAAATCCCTCCATTCCTTTCCCCTCCTCCTGACCCTAATGCTACCACTAAATTCCCTTCGCATCTCCAACCAGCCTTCGACGCCTCCAGGCACCTCCGAGCACCGCTGGCGGGGCTCTTACGCTCGCTTTCCGTTCAATCAAAGAGAGTTATTGTCATCCATGATTCTCTCATGGGGTATGTGATTCAGGACGTTTCCTCCATCCCAAATGCAGAATCCTACACTTTCCATAGTGTCTCTGCTTTTACAATTTCCCTCTTCATATGGGAAAAACAGGGTAAACCCATAAAAGTAAGTGAAGAATTCCTTGAAGATGTTCCCTCTCTTGAAGGATGCTTCTCGCCGGAGTTCTTGGATTTCATCGACTTTCAGCACCGGTACCTGAATTCCAACTCCGGCAAAATATACAACACAAGCAAGGCCATAGAAGGTACTGTTGGAAAATTAAGGTTTCGAAGCACAATTCGCTTGTCTTTTATAGGGTACATAGCAACAAACAAGTCATCCACCTGTAAAGTTCGCCTCTTGATTGCCTTATACAAGCGCTAGTTTCAAGCATCTCATATTAAAGATTTGAAAATTTTGCCATATTGCAATCAAACAGTATCTTACACTAATCTAGTACCAAATCAAATTCATATCCTTGATTTAGTTAACTACAAACGATATACAACACTATTAAGATGCATCTATATAACCTCGTCTTAATTATATAACAATCTAATCTTGACCAACAGAAGTAAAGAGCGAAGTTAAAACATCATAGAATATAGATATATATACCAATTTGATTACATTAGTTATTAGTTCGAGTTAAAAGTTTAGATACTTGTATTATTTAAAAAATATTTTCCATAAACATTAATTCTCTACATGCAGGTACTTCCATGGATCTTCTTGAGAAAACCTTGACCGGAAAAAAGCATTGGGCTTTAGGCCCATTTAATCCGGTTCAGATCACGGTGGAGAAGAAGGTGCCGTCAAATGCCCGGAACTTCTGCTTGAAATGGCTTGACGGGCAGCCGGAGAACTCCGTGGTTTATGTGTCTTTTGGGACAACCACCGCAATGAGTGATGAACAAATCAAGAATCTTGCAATTGGGTTGAAGCAAAGCGGCCAAAAATTCATATGGGTTTTGAGAGATGCAGATAAAGGAGATGTTTTTGCCGGAGAAAGAGGGAGACTGCTGCCCGCACTACCTAAAGGGTTTGAAGATTTGGTGAAAGATGTGGGGTTGGTGGTCAGAGACTGGGCGCCACAGCTGGAAATTCTAGCCCATCCGGCCACCGGTGGCTTTGTGAGTCATTGCGGGTGGAATTCGTGCTTGGAGAGCATCACCATGGGAGTTCCGATCGGCACGTGGCCAATGCATTCCGATCAGCCGAGGAATGCGGTGCTGATTACGAAATTGCTGAAGGTTGGGATTGTTGTTAGAAATTGGGAGCGGCAAGATGAGGTGGTGACGGCGGCGGCTGTTGAGAATGCTGTCAAAAGGCTGATGGCGTCGAAGGAAGGTGCAGAAGTGAGGAAGAGGGCGGCGGAACTTGGAGATGCAATGCGGCGGTCGGTGGCGGATGGTGGCGTTTCTCGTGCAGAGTGGGATTCCTTCATTGATCATATCACCCGGTAGCATATTTATTCACAATACTTTTTAATGTTGTAACCGGTGGTGTATTATTATTATTATTATTATTTTAGAGTATGCTATTTTGTGGTTAAGAAAATTAGTAGTATACCCTACTAATGGGAATAGTATTTACTTTCTAATTTTTAGGAGTAATATTACTCTAAAACTAAGTTATTTTAATAAATATCTATTGAAAAAGATTAAAATATCTTATTTTAAAAACATAAATTAAGATATTTTTTGTAGTTTTTCTTTTTAATTTTTTGAAAATAAATTGGACAAGCACCAATTTCTACCCTAATACCATATTAGTTTTTAAGGCCATTAATATTAAGAGTTGTCTTGTCTTATAATATGAATTGCCTTATATGAATTGTTTCAATACGTAAGAATTTAAGTGTTTACATTAAATATCTGAAATTTAGATTTTAGAATGAGTAATGAGAGGTTTTGAAAAAAGAAGGTTATCTCTTATTATATATCTTATTATCAAATGTAATAAAAAAAATATTAAGAGTCCTCTTTAAATTTAATAATTTGTATTTTGTAATTTTGAATTGGAAAACACTTTGTTGTCATTATTATTAGAGCATTGTGCATTTGTGCATTTTGTATGATTAGTTTATGAAAGTGTTATAATTAGAAAGTGATATTTTAATTGTACAACTATAACAAATTATTATATAATTAATTCTTCTATAGAGAGAGTTATGTTGCATACATTCATTTGTTTAATGTTATTATTATAATCTTATAATTTTTTGTAATATTGTTAATACATTTCATTTTCGTTTAGTTTATTAAAAAATAATATTCAATTTAATTCATTTAATTTTGTATTGCATAGAGTACAAACCTTTATATGGTAGAAGGTAAATATTATTTCAATAAAATATTTTATTTAATATATATTATAATTATTTTAAAAATAAAATTAAAAATAATAAATATATTAAATAACATCTTAAATACTAAGTTAACTAAAATTTAAATAAAAAAGTAATTTTATATATTAAATATTTAACATTTCTAAAGAATTACAGCTTGGACTTCTTATCATATTTTTTAAAAATAACACGTGCCACAACGTGCCAAGCCATCTCAGTTCGTCTCAAAATTCCGTCCCATTAATCATTAATTTTTTG